TGAAAAGTCTTTGGCCTCAATTTGAGCATCTTGGAATAATTATTGAGGCCTGATCATTTGTCTGAAGAAACGGAGTGAATTCTACAAGGGATGATTATGGACAAAAGTCATTTCCAAGTGCAATGGTTTCTTTTAAAGGCAATTGCATGGGTTATGCTGTCACGCTGGTCCAAGGGCTTCTATCAGGAGATTATTGCCCGTATTATGAGCATTTTAAAAGCAAATATGCAAAGAAATTTGACAATTGCTTACTTGAATCATGTTATAAGTGATAAAATGAAGGGATTCATTCTCGGACTCAGGAAGAACTAGAAACTGATACTAATTGCTGGCAATCAGCCACCTGGACAATGTCAATGTCAATGAAAAGAAGGAAACAGCTTGGTCGCAATGCCTAGGTTCCATTCGATATGTAGGATAAAAACGAATTTAATTCCATTAATCGAGTCTGGATTGGAATTGATTTGGAAAGCTGCCACTGTTCTCAGTCAAACGATATCTACAAGGGTATGGCCCTTCTCGAGGGGGGGGGACATGGATTGGAAGGGGAAGCGGGAGGGGATGGGCCTTGTTCTCACGCTTCAACCCCTTGCCCTCGTCCTTGGCTTGAGAGCCGGCAAGTCTGAGGACAAGCAGGTCCGGCCTGCGGCTTTGAGATTTCCTCCCACCGATGACGGCATTCTTCACCGATCCAACATGGTGGCCGTCTGTGGTGGCCATAGACATAGTAAATATAATTAGTGTAGACTGGACAGGCAGTCGAACACCTCGCGTCACGTAGACTCTGGGCCCAACTACATGGGAAACTAATATTGGACACTCACATTGGTAAGTGCAATGGAAATAATAACTGGGTTTCTTCTCCTCAAAGATGGAAAAGGTAGCATTGATCAATTTTCTAGACACCATACTTCATCAGTGAAGACCAGGTAGGCCTAGGTCTACCCAGTCTTCAGCGTGCTGCCACTGCCTCAACATCAATTACGTATCGCTAAAATGAGATTCGGATTCTTTTCTGACGAGGTATTGCACTTTTTCTTTTCGATGCAGGTTTGAATAAAGCCTCCACTGCAATGGCGTCAAAACTCACATTAGAGGGTGATGTCATGAATCCGAAAGCTATGCGTTTATTGCGCGACTTGACGGCATGAACGACGGCGGCCGCCCCTTCTAATCGGCGTAGAGCTGCGGCGCGTTCTCCATTGGGTTGTCCAGTCTAGTTATATATACCGTGTCTTTCGTGGTGGGAGCTGTTCAAATTTTGGGTGGCGGACAGCGTCTGATTTGAAGAAATCCGTGGCTTAGTTTTACTAAGTTTCTTACGAGAGTGGATTGCACGACCTCACTGTTTGACCAAAGGCTAAGTTCTTCTTTAAATTTCAATATTGATTAGGGTGACCAGGCGTCCCGATTTGAAATTTATGAACACCTCCGGTGAAATTCTCATGCCAGAAAGTTAGCCCGAGACAAAATTCTCTTGGCATTCTTCATGACCGCGTTAATTCTGTTAGATCATGCAATATTTAATGCACCCAGCCATATGAGTTTACGAGTCAGCGCAGCCAGCGAGCACGTAACGCATGCTAATACTCCTGTCAGCCGCCATGTTGGAACGATGAGGCCGTTCTGTGATCGGTGGGAAGGAATTTCAAAGCCGCTGGCCGGATCTGCTTATGTGTGAGGAGCGGGGAGACCCTCTTCGAGGTGGCAGGGCTATGAGACGAGGGAGGAGTTGCACGGGAGAGGATGCTCGGGAGACAGGCTGCGTTAACGGAAGGACTGCCCCCTCTTGCGAGGTAGAGAGGGTTTGGTTGAAGGTGAGTTGGGAGGGAGCTTCACCCTCCGAAGCTTCCTCCTTCCGGACGTGATGGGTGCCTGCATGGGGGAATAATGGGAAGTGAGGGGAGCGAGTCAGATAATCAGATGTGCGAAAGAAGGAACAGTCGGAGAATGCTGGGTGGAGGAGGATGGGCGATGCCTTGACAAAGGCAATTCAAAACCGCTAACAAAAGCGCAGAGCTTTTACTACGCCGAGCGGAGGAGGCTGAGAGGACTAGAAATGAGGTCAGCTCTCTTGCCTTCAAAAGCCAACTTTTGCAAAAGGCATCTGCCGCGATTACGGCAGAAGGAAAATAAAGGATACCGTCTTGGAATAGGCTATTAGTTACAGCTGAAAAAAAGCATTTGAAGCTGAGTGAAGCTAACCGGTCCAAGGACCTGGATACATGAAAACTTAATTTCCTAGCGCTTGCCAGCGAAAGTTCTAACTTGAAAGGAAAACATGACTAATTTCCAGGATCAATTCCTGGATACGTTTCCAGAATTAATATCCAGGATCGCGAGTTTGATACAGAGAGCTCTTCCCCATACGTAGGACAGTCTCCATCCAGGTCATTCAGCTTGTGCTGAGCCGGCTGAATTATTAAAATATAACGCGCTTTCATATGCTTTGATCGGGTATCAGGCAAGGAGAGGAGCTTCAAAGTTTTAATGAAAGAGCCTCTTAAATCAATCAGGAATGACGCCGTACAATGTCCCAGGAAATGGTTATCCCCCCCCCCGTTGTGCGAGGAAAGCGGATGAACAGAAAAATAATTTGTTTTCAGGATTGCTAGTAGAACAATTTAGGCCAGGAAATTCAAAACTTTTTTTCTTACTGCTAACAAAAATTGCAACATTCTTTGCCATAAGTGAGGAATAGGGCGCTCGCAATCGCAGTGGGCGTACAAGAGAAAAGAAGTTCTGAAGCGGGAAAAATAAATAAGCCTCATATATACCGCAGGTTTGGGAAGGAAAATAAATTGTCTGCACATTGCAAAAGAGCGATACAACCGCAGTGAATAGACGCAAGGCCCCTCGAGCTCTCTGCTCACCAAGTCACTGCGCGATGGCCTCCCTCACCGCGAGGAAAGTCGATCCCGCATCAGAGCTTGTTGAAATGATGGGGGGGGGGGCTTTTGAGACGGGCTCCGCATGCCTCTCAATCATAATGCGCCTCGCGTTCAACCTGAATTGCTCCCAAGTGTCGGTGTTCAACTGAATACTCCCGCGCATTTTTGGGAAAAAAGTAGGGGGGATCAATGAATGGGAACTTTCACGAATGTGACCGTGGCGCGAGTGTGCGAGTGCACGTGCGTGTGCGTGTGCATGTGCGCGTGCGTGTATGTGAACAATATCGCAGGAGACGAGCCTTCGGGCTTCGCCAGCTCGTTTCCTTCCTTCCTTAAAGAAAGCGTTGTGCAGATCCATGGACACGGGTGCTGAGCTGGAAAGGGTTGAAGCTCAAATAATATACTCAATGACTTAAGGTGTAGAAGTGATCCTCTTCGACAACTATTGGTCCAATCGAAATGGGTGGCGATGCCGTTGCATGACTGTGAAATCGCCGTAACTTCAAGAGCGTAAGTGTGTATTTGATGTTGATTTTTCGTATTCCTGGTTTGTGTTTGCCGCGAGATTTTCGAATCAGTGGAGGTGCATTTCCGCTGCCATTCCCGTCTTTCCATGCAATTAAAACTATCTTCATAAAAACTATCCTGAAAAATGGCAAGGTGCAGTTTTCATCTAGGAATAATTGAATGAACCCAATTGACGTAAGACATCATCCAGAATTTCGTGCTGAGGCAAGGGGCAGCCAACGATCAAGATGAGGGGATGGGAAGGGCAGGGTTGCAAAAAAACTCGGATTTTGGGTCAGGAGTGATTATGCTGGATGCTGCATTAGGAAATGGATGTACAATAAGAACGCCGAGACCGAGGACGGCATAAAAAGAGAGAGGGAGTGATGCGGCAGTGTCCTTGACCGGCGGCAGACCCGACCGTTTTTTTCCCCCCTGCCTTGCGCCACAGGAATGAGCGTCATGACATGAATATAGATTGAGGCAATATTAAAACGCGCCGCCCTGGAAATTTGTGACGCCTTTCAAACAGCGGCGACCTCAACAAAGTTTCTTTCATCTGTACATTTAGGCATCATTTAAGCATCGTGCGAATTTTGCGCGATGATTGCTCACTGATTCCGCCCTTTAGTTACTTTAGGAAAGCGATGGGAATAAAATTTTTTTGAGATTGCAACTCGGCGCTGGCCCGAGGACCTGCCCACTGACTGGGAAAGAATTCTGGGAATTATGTTTTCTGCTGACCCCACATAAATAATGAACTTGAAATGGGAATCTAGACTTTCGGATATTGACGCATCGTTCATGTCAAGGAAATATGTTAAGCTTTCCCCTTTTTGCAGATAATGTGTGATATGAGATGAGGGAAAAAAAATACTTGGGAGATTTATTCCTGAAGGAATGTGACCGAAGGGCTCCCATTCGAACGTTGAATTTTTATGGAAATCAATAGGCATTATCACCTTTCAGGTCATTCCATTTGGCTGAAGTAAAAGATACTCTTTCAATATGTCCCAAATAAATTCACATAGAAGGCATTTACCTCAAAAGTCCAATAATTTTTCTGAACTCTTCATCCCAATAGCTCCATGTGTCCCAAGTATCCGAATGCTAACCTCTGGAGAACATTGTATGAATTTGCGTCCGTCAATCACTCTGTCGCTCAGTCATGAGAGCCTATACATTATTAGATTTTATACGGAAATATGTTACCAGAAATTATCGGGAAAATTTTGCAAAGCATATGTCGATTCTTAAGTCTAATGCCGCTTTTTTAAATTAAGCATAAGTGCCTGACAATCTCCACCTAATGTATTATCATATATCCAGGGGAAATTGTCAAAACAATGTCATGCTGAAAGGTACAACAATGCATGTATGAAAACTTCCTGCAATTTAAAACATGACTGAATGCAAGTTCCATCTTTCTCAGCAACTCTTCAACTAAAGGGGAAAAATATCCATAAACACTTTCACATTCGCTTTTTAAATTAATTTTTATATTTTTTATATGCAAATTATTTTCAGCTAAGTTGTTAATTCAGGTTAAACCTAAGAGTGGAAACACAAAGAAGCAACCTGTATAACTGCCGTCTCCTTTTCAGGCCTGGAAGCCAGTCGAGGTAGCAGTGCATCAATATGAGGGGAAGTCCACGTCTCTTGTTGTTTGCAATAAACCTTCTTACTGAGTACGGGTCTGGAAATGTAAGTTGAACCTCGTCCGTTCCCGAACTCCTACACGCACATAAAAAAAAAAAATTGGAGTATTCAGCAGGTGGATTTCCGGGAAGAAGGGCATCTATGATGTTCCAAATAAGCGAAGGGAGGATGTTTTTACTGATGAGTTGGGAAAATTCAAAGTTAAACTCTAGCACCTTTGTATTTCTTTTTCCAGCTCTTATGTTTTCGGAGCAATGAAGAATGGTTGATGAGGATTGCGATTTTCCCTCTCGAAGTTAATAATAAATTATTCACAGGTTTTAATGGAATGCCATTTTTGTGATACAAATGTAAGTATATAGTCCTTTTTCGTTTTCCCAGGCACTCGAAAGCACTACTATCCGTGAACCGGAACATATTGGAGGCAAATTTGAGGAAATTTTGTTAGTTCTGAGGACAGCAACGCTAGAACATGCGAAAGAAATCACGCAACTAAAGTCTGAAAATGAGCACTTGCGGAATGACAAGGAAAGCCTCAGGGACGACTACAAGAAATTGAAGAATGACTTCGAGAACATGAGAAAAGAGCACGAAAACCTCAAGTCTAGCTTGGAGGAACATTTCCGGGAAAGGGACGAACTTAAACTTCAACTGAACACCACGGAAGGAAGACTCCAATATCTGGAGGCTATTACTCGGCAAATAAGTGAGTGAGGACTTGATGAACCCTTAGATCAGAATTGTTGACGAACGTGAAATGTAAAAAATATATTTTAGTTGCACTAACGGCATAAATATCGTTGCTTCGGTACCCGCAGTATGCCCCATCACTGCTTGGAATGTCGGGTTTACTAGACATCGGCTGTCTCCGCCGTCTCACCAATTCGTTGCGCGCAGTTCTTCAAAGATGGAACTAACGATATTGGGAACATTCAGCGAAGAGCATCGTACACTATTGAATTCCTTAACTACAAATGGTTCCACAACATTCTGATGACTTTGATTAGTACGGCTATTGTATTGGGATGACTAATCTTCGCTTGAATCGCTTTCTTTATGGGTACAAGAACATGCGAAGGACGTTCAAGTGCTTTTAGACAACCCATGCAACGTTCTCCATAATGAGCGCACTATCACCCTTTGGCCAGTTAACGTATTATGCACTGTCACGTGCTCCGCAGGTATACGAGATGGCTAAGAGTCAAACGCGCGTCTTCGTGTAGCACAGTTCTCGAGTAGAGAGGGCATTATGCGCTAACTATTATATTTTGCCTTCTACAGGAAGAAAAACCGTTACTGTATGCTGCTCCATACAGGACGCTCATTTGATCGCTAACGCCACCTTTGAACACGTAATATGCCTACACATAGTGAACAGTGCAGACAGCGGTGACGGCAACACTTCAACCAATCGCATATTCCAGGCAGTGATATGTCCTTACCTGAATAGCAATTTCTGCAAGAAATGCTCTAAAAGTGTCAACCTCGTGTAATAAGCTCTTCCAGAGGAGTAATTATGTAATATCCCACTCTGATTCAACAAGGATTTCGTTGCTGGACTCCCAACACCCTTTTGTGCCATTTTTAACGCTTCTCTCCAAGCTGGAACAGTACCCTCTTTACGGAAAGAGGCAATCGTTGCCCCAATCCCAAAGAAATGCCCTTCCTCGTTCTTGAACGATCTTTGCCCTATTTCAGTCACCTGTACCCCGTGCAAGATCCTAGAGAAAACTATCCTTCGCTTCATGGATCTCAATAAGGAAACCGTGGAGGCATTTCGACAACGAAATACTTAGTTGCCCTCCTCCACCAAGACCATACGCATGTCGACGCTGGACTTGCAGCATTTTGCGTGCTTGTTGATTATACCAAAGCTTTTGCACGGTAGGCCATACTATTCTCATGAACAAATTATCCCTTCTTGAAAGAGATGCATGCATGATAGATAACCTGGCTAGCGTCATTCCTGAATAAAGGACCCCAGCGTACTCGCTACAACGGGACCCTATCTGATTCCCTCTCATTCATATGCGGGATCCCCAAAGTCACAGTGTTGGACCCCTTATTGTCCACCGTGATGGTCAATGACGACGTGCAAGTTGGTGTCCATGTTTTCAAGTACGTCGACGACAAAACCATGATAGTGGTCCATCCAAAGAACTCCATCCCCGATTTCCAGCCTGCCCTCTTGCAGGAAGAGGAATGAACCCACGCTAACAATATGAAACTTAACCCTAACAACGATAACCGCGATACAATTTTGCTTCTCAAAGTACCTCCCCATCCATCACAACCTCCACATTCCAGGCCGTGTTTTGGCGAAAGAGACCTGCATTCGCCTTTTGGGTGTGTGGATCCAGACGACCTCCACTGGAACGCAGACACCAAGGCATCAAGACAATTGTTTATCCTCAAGCTCTTCAAATCCTTCGGAGCGCACCGTGAAGATTTGCTTGATGTTTGGTCCTCGAACATCGTCCCAGTATCAGAATACGCATCCCGTGCCAGGAGCAGCTCACTGACCACCAATTTGGCAAATTCAATTCAGCTAGTCCAAAAGCGCGCTTTTCGGCTCATCCTTGGGAGCGAATTTATGTCATATGAGGAGGCACTATCTACTCTTCAGCTACCATATCTGGTGGACAGATGAAAGAAGCTCACGTTAAAATAAGTTCAAATTCTTCCATTCAACCCATCTCGTCGACATGTACGCCAACATGTACGCCCCCCCCGCAGGTGCCAACAATGACCTTACGACATGAAAATTCAAATTTCTTTCTGGGATTCAAGTGCAGAACCCAACGCTTCTACAATCAGCAGTCCCCTATATGACCCGCTTTATGAGCGCATGATCCACTTAACCCAACTTCTCCAATTCACTTCATATATCCTTGACTCAATGATTTCGTAATGTCACCCTTAACATGACGATGGATACCAATTTGCTAATGCACTAAGAGCCCTGATCTTCAGTGAACCATTATTATTACTATTCTTTCAACTGAGAATCGCAAGAGGATGATACTTTTATCTCAGCTCCCCGAACGTGTCAGATGTTGGCAGAACTTGGGATAACACGAACTGGAGAATATTTCGTTGATCCAGACGGAGTGTTGAGCGGCGAGGCACCCATCAAAGTGCGCTGTGACATGGAGACAGGTCGGTGAATTAAACAATTGCTCTTTCGTCCTACAGACGCTTAAATAATGTTCCATTTGTTCCGGCTCATGCTCTTTCAACTATGTTTTATCTAGATCCAGTATCCACGATCGTTCTTCATGATTCGATGGGAAGCACTGTGATAGATCGCTGTGCTGATCTTGGATGCTACAGTCGCAGCATGAAGTATGGTGCACCAATGAAACAGATTGTGGCATTGATCGAGCAATCGAAGTCGTGCGAACAGCAAATAAGAGTGAGTCAATCTTGTTGTCTTTGGACCTTGTATTTTATTTTGCGTTATCGTAAGCCAATGGTTACCATCTGGAAATTTCTTGGAATATATAATTTTTTATCCTTTCGAAATATTTAAGCAAGATCAACTTTATTGCAAAAAGAGGTATGTTTGCTACGCAGCGAATAGAAGAGAAACAACCCGCAGCCATGCGGCGTGGCAATTAACACGATGCCCTGTAACGTGCAATAACCTTCGTTCTTTGGGTCACGGTTTCTATTTGCTTATGTGCCTGCTAATTTCCCAGTTGATTCTCAATGGCCACATTACAAAAATATATCGGAGGCAAGACTTCCTGTTCATTTTTCATTTCGATTCTAACTTGCAGGGCAGCGATAAATATTCACTGGACAAGTTAAGGTCAAACATAACCGGAAAGTCGCGTCTAAGATTCTGAATTCGCAAAGACATTATTCCAGAAAGACCTTGAAGGAGTGAAAAAGCTCCAGGATGACCTTTAGTCTCAAAATTAGCCTGAATACATTTCATGAAGTTGCCACGAAATGGTTATCCCTAGATTGTATGTGAATGCGACATCCAGTAGCAAGCATCTGAGTTCAGCTCTTTCTTCTTTTTGTTGAGAGAAGTTCAAATTTCAAGTAAACATGCCTGCTGTACCTGCCACTGATGTCTGGAAAACTATAAAACCTTGTACATATATCCGAGTTTTAGTCTAAGGATTATTAGTGTCTCGTTTCAGTACGACTGTTTTACGACAGCCCTCACAACTGGAGACAAGCACTATGCTTGGTGGGTGGATCGTCACGGCAAACCTCAATATTACTGGGATGGTTCACACACCGGGGAACACGTGTGCAACTGTGGCCTCACTTCTAAATGCATTGACCCGATTCTGCCGTGCAATTGCGATGCGAAGGTTCCCCAATGGGAATCAGACTCTGGATCAATCACCGATCCAAAAGCACTGCCTATTATTGAGCTCCGATTTGGGGGATTACGGTTTGATTTTCAAAAGGCTAATTACACTCTGGGCGGAATGGTCTGCAGGGGCAAGGTTCCGCCTCCGGAAAATCCAGCAGAATCTTGTTCATCGCTCCGCAAAGCTGGGAGCACCTACACTGGTTATTACTTGATCAACTCAAAGAAAGATAGCTTGGATGTTGTTATGTGTAGAATGGATTTAGAAGAGACCAATCCGGAGTTTCAGGTGGAGACCAGTGCACATATTGCATGGGGTGGTTTTACCCATCGCAAGGTTACGCTTCCGGACAATCCAGCAGAATCTTGTTCATCTCTCCGCCAAGCCGGAAATACTCACTCCGGCTATTACCTGATTAACTCCAAGAAAGGTCGCTTGGATGTCGTTTTGTGTAGGATGGATTTGGAGGAGACTGACCCAAAGTTTCAGGTGGAGACCGCTGCACGTATTGCAGTTGTGGGGCTTCACCATGGCAAGGCTACGCCTCCGGACAATCCAGCACAATCCTGTTCATCTCTCCGCCAGGCTGGGAACATTCACTCCGGCTATTACTTGATCAACTCCAAGAAAGGTCGCTTGAATGTCGTTTTGTGTAGGATGGATCTGGAGGAGATCGATCCAAAGTTTCAGGTGGAGACCAGTGCACGTATTGCATGGAGTAGTTTTACCCATGGTAAAGTTACGCCTCCGGACAATCCAGCACAATCCTGTTCAACTCTCCGCCAGGCTGGGAACATTCACTCCGGCTATTACTTGATCAACTCCAAGAAAGGTCGCTTGGATGTCGTTTTGTGTAGGATGGATTTGGAGGAGACCGATTCGAAGTTTCAGGTGGAGACCAGTGCACGTATTGCATGGGGTGGTTTTGCACATGGCGAGGTAACGTCTCCAGGCAATCCAGCCCATTCTTGTTCATCGCTTCGCCAAGCTGGAAACGCTCATCCCGGTTATTACCTGATCAACTCCAACAATGGTCGTTTGGATGTTGTTATGTGTAGGATGGACTTGGAGGAGACCGACCCAGAGTTTCAAAAGGAGGCTGGTGCGCGTATTGCAAGGGAAGGAGCTTATTTCAAAGCCTATGGAAGTAGGCACGATGTAAATGAGGGCAGCGTCGTTCGTTACTTCGGAGCCGACGTAAACGTTGGCTGGGCATTGGATCTCGGCAGTGGAATTTTTACGGCACCTATCAATGGTATATATGCGTTTCATCTTCATATTGTGACTCATGGTGGAGACACACAGTTACGTCTGAGAAAAAATGGTGTAAAAGAAGCAGAACTGCGCTCTGAAGGCGACCCTTTTATGTCGCCAGGCAACTCTATCCTTCTGTACCTTAATAAGCGCGACCAAGTTGATGTCCTCTTGGAAAAGAAAGGGAATTATGTTTTCGAAACCATGCGTTTTGTGGGTTATCTGTTATACCCTATGTGAAACAAAAAGTGGATGTAATGCTCTCCGCTGTTCGATAAATTGTGTATGCAAGTATTTTGGCGTCATTCATTTTCATCGTATAGTAGTACACTCTTAGAAAATTCAGAGCGTTTAGGGAGTAAAAACTGAGCACCGTGTGAGCTATTTCAAATATACTCTCTTATTACTCGCCTCCTCGCTCGTAGTGAAGTGAACATCTTGAAGTTCTTCTCCCGGCCACTAGATGGAGGTAAGGGTCTCACTTTTCGCACAGTACACAAAAGTACCCTTCCCTCCTTCTCTGGAATCGTCCGTCGCAGGATTATATTACCTCGACATGTGTCTCGCCTAGTTATATTATAGGAATCAATAAACACGGACTTTCCATCATTTGTTATCCACATTCACGACAGATTCATAGAGCCCAGGCCATAAACAAGCTCACATTCCTGATGAGAACCCTTTGGAAATTAGGAAGAGATTCATCCGCAGAGGAGATTTAGAACATGAAGAGAGCGTTCATGAACTCACTTCTGCCACTTCCTCGAATTGATGAATGAGGAAATGAAGGAGTGACATCGCGGACGCTTCATGAAACCTTAAGAGGTAGTCCATTCTCTGACATGTTCTATAATCAGTACTGTCAAAGGTAGGTTAATGTACTGTACGAGAGCGAAAGCGACACAAAGTATTTGAGGATTTGCGTATTTGCACGACATCCCTATCTTTTCCTGAGGGCAGCGTTTTTACTCATGGAGGATTGCAAGGTTACTCTTTGGTGATGGAGCAAATACGCTCCTTTCCCAGAGTAAAAGGGGAGTGAAACTGGAGTTAGCGATTTTACTCTCTTTTTTGAGAAAAATCGCTCCCCTTTTTCTAAGAGTGTAGCTCATTCTGTTCTGAAGGATCTGAACTTCTACTGTAGGACCTATTCCTAAAAGGATTTACACGGTTTGCGGCGTTTCATCTCACAAGTGTTATCTCTGCTGATATTAAAAGGGTCGATCTATCATGGGGAACTGGGAAACGGACGCTATTGGTTGGTGTTGTCAGTATGTGAAACCGGACATCCTCACGTAATGGGACGCGGCTAGAGTAGGTCCAGTAGCATATTGTATGATTGGCGATCCTGCACACCGGACCTAAGCTAGGTATACCGAACCTCTTGTGACAACGATTCTCTACGTTATCGGTCCATATTGCCAAAGGGCTACGGACTGATTTCGAAACAGTATCTTTAGATTACCGCATTGGTTGGGAGTCTCTGGAGTGGCATCCGGGAGACTTGTGCACATCAACGGCCGTGGGGTCCCTTGATTCGAAGAAGAAGCCAATCCCACCTAGAAGGTGACACGAATGACGGAACTTAGTATCCTCTCTATGCGCGACGCTTGCCGCCAGCTGCGTGGAACCAATTTCGGTATCTTGTATCCTCGATCTGATTTTTTTTGGGCCATTAGGTTCATGACTACGTGTGAGGTTCGTGAAGTAAACACTCAGAGACACAACGTTTTCCTTTCTTTGAAATGTCAGATTTGGAAAGTGCAGTCCTGTAGAGTTTCTGAAAACTGCGGAAGCCATGGAGTTGCCGTTGTCGATATCGTTTCTGCATTTCCCGTCATTCGAGAAAAGGCAACGAAGTTCTAGAAATATTCCACTTGTTCCAGTGAAGCCCCTCTAAAGGTAAGGAAACTGAACAGAACGTCTCGAGAATACCTCAACCTTTCTTTTGGACATGTAGAATTTCATTCCGACCTCAGCACATTACAAATCGAACCGACCGAGCACACACTGACGCTCCTGTCGAGGCCGAGCCAAATAGATGGCATCATTAGCTAAGAAGACATAGAGATATTCATATCATAGAGGGCTGCTGCAAAAAAAACAAACAAATTTTAAGCTAGTAAGGCGAAAGCAACAATGCTTTATTTTGAAGTGCTGAGAAAGAAATTCCTTTTGAAACCAGAAATCAGGGGCAAGTTGTACCTGGATTTTGCACCTCATCACTGAGCTACACAGATACCGCGGCAGACATCCACCATCTTCGTTACCGTCAGACAGTGGTTGCTGACAGATTCAGTTCCCCAGTAACAGAGTATGTTGTTGAAACGCTTCCGAAATGTTGCCTATGTTGCTCTATGTTGCAAGTTGATGTACAACATTGATAAAACAGCGGTTTAACGTTTTTCCTTTGAATGTTGCTGCGACACTTCAATGAATGTTGAAATGTTCAATGAAAGGCATCAAGTCAAACGAACTAAAGCTCGTTTGACTCGATGCCTTAGACCGGGTATAAAATCGGTCGACTGTGATGATGCAAGGGCGACGGAAGGTTATCACCTTCGTAGGCCCAGCAATCTCGGGAAAGGCAGGCCTGGAATTTGCGGCCCACTCGAGAAAATGGAGATAGAGAAACGGGATGGTTACGACGCCGCCGGTGTCGTCTTTCCGATGAAAAGTAAGCGCTCTTGTGCCATACAGGTGGAATCCCGCCGTTTTCACCCTCGGGAGTCACTCTCCTTGTGAGGAATAAGAGGATGGGGTTTTGATTGAAAAAGGGGTCTGGATCTCCATGAATATATGGGCAGAGATCTCATACCATCTCATATCTCAAGTCATCCGTTCTCCAGAGATATGACAGGACTGCAAGTGTAATACGCGGGGAAGTTTTACACGTCCATGCGTGTAAAACGTCCCATCCCGCGTTCGGTGGTGTAGTGGTAGCACACTCGACTGGCAACCTGGAGGCCCTGGATTCGATTTCCGCCCCCTTCGTCATTTTCGTCCTCTTATGTCATCCAAATTCTTCCCCAATCCCCTGGGTATTACGTTCTCCAAAATAAATCCGACAACCCCAACGGCCGAAAAAAATGCTCTCCCAAGAGAGAGGGAGAGGTTCACCCCTAGGCAGGCAGTTGACTTTATGGGAGAGCACGCGCGAACATGCTGAGCGCGCGCGTCTGTCATGTGTGCACGCTCATGCCACAATCCACCGACCATGACCACAACCACGGACCACAGCAGATTTTATTATATTGATGACATTGCGCAAGTAGCACATAAACGCTTTCGAGGACGTTCAACATGTGAAGAATGGGGTCTTCCGCCCTTTTACAAAAGAAGAGGAGGAAATATACTGTTTACTCCTCCTGAGGTGTTGAAAAGAGAGTTGCAGGAATCTCATCCTTTTCTACTCTAATATTTTCCCCACCTTTCTCTTCCCTTCCTAATGGTCTGTTGTAATGAAATGAAACAATGTTAATTTTTTTTAAATAACCTTTGAGAAATTGGCTTTCATGTGGTATATTGTTAATCCTAATATTGCATATTGAAGGAAAGTGTTTTGATTCTTTCAATCTGATTTGATGACTTAATTACTGACCATATTATAAGGAATTAAGGAAAAATACCTGATTTTGTCTAATACTCAGTATAAAGTAAGAATAATGAAATGTTATCAGTGTAGGGATGGGACAACCCTGTAACCGACTGGGGCAAACACATAAAACCAAACCCATTAAGATAATGAGAAAGTCACACCATCGTGATGACTTTAAATAAATTAAGTCGAGGCCAACACCAAAAGGGTAGCCAATGGGACAAAAGGGGGCCAAGTCGAATATCCAATCCGAACCTCGGATTTTGGAGGAAGGTACCCTGGCTCCTCCCAGAGGTATCGAGGATATTAGCCGGAGACTTGGATCCTGGAGTCAGTCGCTATTTGGAAGGCACCATTGTGACCTTACCATATCCGGAGCTGACTCCAGGACAACCTACCATCGTAA